TTGCACTATAGCTATTATTGTCTTGATTTTACTAGGGGGGAAATTAAAATTCCCAGAAGTAAAATAGCAAAACTAGGTATGTATTTAGCAATTACCTCATGCTATATCTAGATACATATATACTTTTCTACCATGTAAGTGGATAGCATGTACCAGTTCCTTAAAATTCCTTAAGTTTTTATTAATTGAGGTACAGGAAGTTTTGATATTACTTTTCTGGAAAGATGGAGGATATAAAATTGGACTTCATGTTCTTATTCCATTCAGTTTTATTGAAGGAAAATTATTTAAAATATAACATTTGCTTTGTCTTATAGACAATTTGAATAGAATCCTTACCAGCTAACTAATCTTAGATTACATATATTAAACATATATTCTTGGCTAGAGATGGAATTATAGGGATGAACAATTAGATAATTAATGAGTGTGTTCCAAGTGACTTCTTCTCTCATCAATAATATTTATTGTTACTTATCAACAAATGATGGGTCTGAATTTCCACAAATGTGTACCTAGTCCTTTTTATTTTGTGAAGTTGCTAGACTCTAATAATATTCTCACATACTAATAAACTACTATCAGTGTAAAGGATTTCATTCTGGGTCTGAATTGATAACCTTTTATTCATGGATTTTCTTAATTTTCTTCCAGTAGATCCTTTTTGGTATTGCACTAGAACAATATATTATGATCAGTGATTTATCCATGTGCATTTAAAGGCATTTGAATCTACTTGGATTTTTCCCCCCTGTATTTCAATTCCTGTATTTCAATATTCTTTTTTTTTTTCATTGAGTAAAAGTGTTGCTTACCTTTATAGGAGATGCATACACCTAAACATTGATTGTATATGTCAACTCTTATTTTGTACTGTCAGCAGAAGTATAGAGTTAAAAGAGAAAAAAATCTATTAAAATATCCCATGGTATTTTATAGGAATATGAACTTTACTTAAAAGCATGAATTTCTATACTTTTCTCAATAATGTGTTTTTCTGCAAGTAGACTATATTCACTCAAATTATAAATGAAACTACATTTAAGATATTCAGTAATAGCTCAATATCTTTTTTTGTGAAATATTTGCTTCTTGATATGTTTTGGAGGCTACAGCAGTATATTTATATTATGAACTCAGATTAGCATAACTAAAGAGGACTCATTTGAAGGTAGTTTAACTCAATATTTTGTATGTCTAATGAGGTATATCTTAATCTTTCTCTATGTTCTACATGGGAGGAAGATCATTCTAAATTTGATTACTACTTAAAACTTCAAATTGGTATATTAAAGCTTAATTCACATTAGAAGTTTAACTAGTTCAGTTTTAAGAGTCATCTAACAGCTGTGCTAAAGATGTACTTGCCAACGTGTTTGGTCCAGGACTTTCTTACTTTTTAAAGTCTGATATATTCCACCTGATATAAGAAATTAAGAAAATGTTGTATATATTTAGTTAAATGAAACTTGTTCAGTATAGAACCACAAAAGATTTTTTTTCTTGCTATTATATGCAGTCAGAAAATTACAGATATGTAAGTGCCTTGTAAAGGAGAATGTGGAAGATTCTAGCACACTATTTTTAAAAGAACACTCTTCACAAAATATTCACGACTGTCCAGGTTCTTAATGTCTTTTTTCTTTTTTCTTTTCTTTTCTTTTTTGTAGTTCAACATGAAGTAAACCTTTTCTGTTGAAAAGTTTGACTTCAGAAAGGATTTGAGTTTTAGCATTTCTCATTTTTTCATAATTCTACAGAAAGGGTCTTTATTTTCAGATTTCTCATAGAGCTACTGTTTGACTAAGTTCTCAAGAATTCCTCTAAATGTTTTAGATATTTGGGCAGTATCATTTTGAGGCCAGAGAGTTATTTTAGAGGGGCCGGGATATCAAATATTACTTAGTACTATCCCTTTCCATGACTATATTAGAAAAGGAAAGAAATTCTGGCAAGTTCAAATCCGTCTGATTTTTGTTTTCAGGAGAACAGGTTGCAGAGACCTTCAAGTGGCTCTCCATGGTGGAAGCAGACCACTGCAGTGATGCAGCTGTCCCTCAGCTAAATGACGGGTGGAAAGGAATTAGCAATCTGTGAAATGCTTTTCCGAAGTAATTTTCCTCCCAGGGTCAAGATCTATGGTCACCATTTTTCTGGCATGATTTGCAGCTACTCATTTGTAGCCTTAGCACCAGTAGCAAATACAACAGTTGAAAGTGCAAGATGTTTCCTTGCTCATTTTTTCTCTCTTCCGCCTAACTAAATTTTTGGAATGCCAGTTCAGTGTTGCCATCTTCTATTCTGCCGTCTAGTTTTGTAAAACTTAAAATTCATGAGTGATGCTTTAATTTATGAATAAGAACCTTGTTTTGACATTTCTCTTTTAAATAGATAGGAATGCTACAGATCAGGAACACGTATAGACAGGACTGTATGTAGCATAGAAGGCTTTCTATTTAAGACTTTCTAGTGAGTCTTAAACATCAGTAGAGAGAGTGAATGATGGAATTATTTCAAGATATATACACTGTTGTTTACAAAAGCAATTGAAAAAAAAAAACCTCTTACCAAAGAAAGATTTAGAAATATGTTATATGTGTGGTGAATAGTTCTATGGCTACCCTTGGATTAGAATTCATTGTTAATTATAGATTAAAACTTATCTTTTAACATGTCATTTTCATGAAAGTCAAGAAGACAGCAAGGACTTTCAAGACACTCTTGATATGTTTCTGGAATGATGTGCAATTTATTTCATACATCTATTCTTAGGTGTTATTGTTAATCAGAATGCTGAAGTCTAAAATTTATAGAGGCTCTGAAGGACAGCAATTAAGGCCATTTGTCTTCCAAATGAGGCAATGTGGGTTCCACTGGTAGTTTAAATTATATTAGGGTACTCTTACCAATATAAAGGTAATGGGGCCCCTGAAGGCATGTGTTGGAAAGCAATAAGTCACTTTAGGGATGTGATAACAAATAATATTTTTGAGAAAAACTTTTCCCTTGGTGTATGAATTTGTGTTTTCTTGTTACCTCTTTTAACTGATTAATTTTAAATTAAAAAAATACATCATTTTTCATGAAAGCATTTATAAAAAGTATATAGCATATTTTAAGGACAATATTAAGTTTTTAAGATGCTGGACTTTGGGTTATAAGAGGTGTGTTCATAAGAGGAATTCACGGATAGGCACTTTTGCTTTTGAAAAAGGTTTTAGGTCTGTGGTGTCATCTGGACACCTCTGATGTACTGTTTTGACTTTGATGCTGCCTTTTCTCTGTCATTGGTGAGGAATGTGACTTTCATTCATACTCAAAGGGCCAAATTTTTGATGAGCACAGTGAGAAGAATTTAAAGGCCCAAAGTTTACCACCCCTTAGCCTGTTGTTGCTGGTCCAAGAATTTGTTGAGTCTCTTTACACAGATCCCCATGGAAACAAAAAATACAAGCTACTTGAAAGGAATCAGGTTATTGGTTTTTCTCATTAAAGCCACTGCTGGATTTTTATTAGTTCTAATTTATTTTCTTTCAAGATTAGACATATAGCCAGTTCTTATTTTCATGATTTGAATTCACAAAATATTTTGACTTGTGTGTGCCTGTATATAGTAGTCATTCTACTTCTGCCATACAATTACCCTTAAAAATAAAACCAGAAAAAAAAAATGCTGACATAAATGGGGAGAAAAAAGCAGGTTATTAAATAAAGTGGAAGCAATGATTAGCAACTAACTTGAGTGAATTTGTGCTTCAGTCCCCCTACATTTAAATCATCTTTCTGTATGAAAACAATTTAAATAATTATGGGAGAGTATTTCTCAGACCTCAACTGCTTTAGACTCTCTCTCTATAAAGTTCAGTTTGTCTCATTGCCTATTATGAGCAGATTTTATAGTTATTTTTAATAATTTATTTATTAATTCTAATTAGGTATATATGACAGCAGAATGAATTTTGATTCAGTGTACACAAATGGAACACAACTTTTTATTCTCTGGTTGTACACAATGTAGTCTTGCACCATAGATGTTGTCATACGTGTATCTAGGGTAATGATGTCCATCTCATTTCACATCTTTCCTGCCCCTATGTTCCCTCCTCTCCCCTGTCTTCCCTTTGCCCAATCACAGTTCCTCCGTTTTTTACATTCTCCCCGCCAACTGTATTATGGTCAGTATCCACTTATCAGAGAGAATATTCAGCCTTTGGTTTTTTGGAATCGGCTTATTTTGCTTAGCATGATATTCTCCAACTCCATCCATTTACCTGCAAAATGTCTTAATTTTATTCTCTTTTAATGCTGAGTGATATTCCATTGTGTACATATACCCCAGTTTCTTTATCCATTCATCTATTGAAGGGCATTTAGGTTGGTACCACAGTTTAGTTATTGAGCTGCTATAAACATTGGTATAAACACCGATGTGGCTGTGCTACTGTAGTATGCTGATTTCAGATCATTTGGGAATAAACCAAGGAGCAAGATAGCTGGTGGTTCAATTTCAAGTTTTCTAAGGAATTTCTATACTGCTTTCCAGATTAGTTGCATCAAAAGCAATGGATGTGTTAAGATGTATACATTGACTTCACCTATTTGGACAAGTATTACAAAGGAAGACAATTTTCACTATTCCTTCTTCTCCTCTCTACAAAGGTTGTTAAACATTATTTAGATTTTAGGTGGTTTATATATTTCAGGAAATCCTCTTTACCATCCTCATGCACTTATTCATATAACCATATGTTCTCTTTTAAAAATAATTCAAAAGGTGTGCTTCAACCTTCTTTCTGGGGCTCAAACTTTTTTTATTTAAACAAAATATACTGATAGACATTTATTTTTATGTGAAAATTTAAAGAGAATAATAATAAGTAGGAGGACCATTGATTATTATGATTATGAGTACCACATCAAGTATTTCAATATAGTGATTGCTGCCCCATGTTTAGAACACGTGTTCGAAATATAACACTGGTCCTCTTTTCTGTTTCTAGGTGGCTGTACTTTTGATGATGGTCCAGGAGCCTGTGATTACCACCAGGATCTGTATGATGATTTTGAATGGGTACATGTTAGTGCTCAAGAGCCCCATTATCTGCCACCTGAAATGCCTCAAGGTAAGAATCATTCTCTCTCTTTTTTAATTTTAAAAAGTCTTTTTATTAGTGTATTATAGCTATACATAAAATTGGGGTTCATTTTGACATAATCATACATGCATGGAATATAATTTGCTCCTGTTACTCCCAAGTACTCCCTCTTGAGAACCATTTTATTTACTTAGCCATGGGGAAATGGCTTCAGAGTATGTAACATTTTCGTATTTTAGATATAACTATAATAATTTTTGTTATAATAAGCAAATTTATTATATTTCTTGGTGACATATATTAGTCTTAAACTATTATTTGCATTTCCCTTAGTCACTTTCTCTAACCCTATATTCTTCAGAATTTCTCATTATACCTTTCTTATGCTCTGTCTTTGCAAAAAAAAATATTAATTGCTTTTTTTCTACTTAATATGAAAAAAAAATGACAAACCAAAAAATAAAAATATAAAAAGCAGAGCAATAAAAAGACTACTGAAAAAAATCTTACACTGGATTGATTCATTTGATACTTATTCAACAAAATTACCAATTTGATTCAGTTATACTGAGTGGAAGGGCTTCCGGTTCCATGGTTGGAGAGAGACTGTCTCACCCTCCTGCTGATCATGAGCAAACTAGTGGCTCTGATGGGGGAGCATCTTAGAGACAAAAATTATCAAATAGAGAAAGCCTTTTTTTTCCCAGTGAATAACATAGAAATAGTGCTGAAACCTATTCATTGGTTTTGCGAAGATCTTGTTATATCCTTTGATTTTGTGGAATGAATACATCTTTTTTTAAATTTTTTGGGTGAGAACAAAGTAATGGAGTAATGCATCTCTGATTGTTTTCTCTTACTTTTGAAAACCACATTAATAGAAGACATCAGCATATATATATACATATATATATATATATGTATATAATTTTATACAATGTTGGATTTATATTTGTGCTTTCAGTTCAACATAATAATTTGGAAATAATATGGGTCCTGTGTTTAGCAACAACTTGTTTAATTACAAAAATCAAAAATATAAACAGGAATTTCAAAATTTCAGTGGTAAAGAGAAGAAACTACCCAATTTTTAGAAAGAAACAAATATCATATATACTTATATATCATATAATAATGTATGTATAAAATATAATATGTAACTATATTATTGTATATAATCAATTGATATTCTGATTTTCTATTACCAACAACTTTTTAAAAATATATTTTTAGCATTTTATTACAATTAAATAAAATAGTTTAAAATTATTTTTTCTCTCAATTCAGAAAGTCCTTCCTAAACTGAGTATGAATTTTATTTATTTATTTATTTTGTTTTTATTATTAGTTGTTCAAGACATTACAAAGCTCTTGACATATCATATTTCATATATTTGATTCAAGCAGATTATGAACTCCCATTTTTACCCCGTATACAGATTGCAGAATCACATCGGTTACACATCCACTTTTTTACATACTGCCATACTAGTGTATGTTGTATTCTGCTGCCCTTCATATCCTCTACTATCCCCCCTCACCTCCCCTCCCCTCCAGAGTATGAATTTTAGATAGGCAATTTTAAACATAACAATTAGAAGTGAAAATATCAATTCCGATGATGGACAAAAATCACTTTTACCAGCATCTTCCCTGAATTTGCTAATTAGTATGATTCATAAAATGCAAAGAAAGAAATATCAACATATCACAAGAATGCAAAGCAAATAAAGGAAAGCCTAAAAGTTATATTTTGTGTTATAAATGAATATAGTATATATGTCCTTTAAAAGTGTTGTTTTCAATTAATTATTTTTTGGGGTGTGTGTAATAATTGTATTTAGCAGTGGGATTCATTTTAACATGTTTGTACATGTACATAACAATTTGGCCAATTTTCTTCCCCTTTCTCTCCTCCTAACCTTCTTCTTCTACTCTAATGCTTTGTCTCTTTTTTATTTTCATGAGATCCACTTCCCCTACCCCCACATTAAGTCTACACTATGGTATGTACATGGATTAAATCTGCTGCTTATTCTTAATTGTCAATTCTCATGGCTGATTAGACAAATGGTTATTTCTGAGGCTGGACTGAGCCATAATTTCTTTTGCAGAGGAATAAAATGATACTTTGCGCTTGACATCCTTTTCTTCTTGTGTTTGACCCCTATATCTTCAACAGACTCATTTAATGTTCTGCATAAGTTTGTATTTTTCTTTCAAAGGTACATAACCTTATTTTGCTGGTGCATTTTAATTAAAGAAACAACTGCAATTTTTGGCCTGAATTTTCTCTGTGGTATATTTAGACTGAATTTTTCATTTTTTAAAGAGGGTGGGCTGGAATGCACACATTTTGACTGTTTATCATCAGAGAATAATCAGAAAGACGTTGATTTATGGAAATGTTACCATTGTTAATTACCATTGATGGTGGATAATGAAGAGCTGAAGAGATATTGCTCAGATGACCTTGTTGGCTCACCTTTGATGCACAACCTAATTGGTGGTTACAGTAAAATATGATATGCACAGAAAATGAAAGTGTTTGAAATTCAGCCAGATCGACCAATTAATAAGACATTAAGTAATTAATCACTCAAAGGAGCGAAAAAAGGTCATGGCACTTTATTTTTTCCCGAGTATAACTGTGTTTAGTTCTGAAGAGAGTTGAGAGAAAACACCATATTTATTTTCTTTATAGAAGATGCTGTTTTATTC